AATATATGAATAAGAGCCCCTTGATAAAGGTAAATGTCGTTGGGTGTCCCAATTACGTATCCTTCTGCTGAAATCAGACATTTTGTGGTAACATTTTTGCAACGCAAAAAAAGGGCAAAACAAGAACACTAATTGGGAAGGGGATGGTGGTGAAAGAAATCAGCAGGGCAGAGCTGCATATATGAATATTCACACACACAGTATAGATATTCAAGCACAACTATTTAGTCTATGTATCATTAGTATTCTTTCCATCTTTTCATTATCCCATTGAAGGTGTACAATAATATAATGTTTTATAAATAATGCATAAATGAATTCAGCTTAATAAGAAGAAATATTAAATGCTCCTTGGACAAATAAATATACATATAACGCCATATGACAATCCTTTTATCAAACAGCATTATCTTTCACAAATAATAACGCCGATTACACAGTTACTATTATCTAACGATTTCTAACACAGGTCTCCGTTTACGTTAACTATTTTATGAGAATACAATTTTGTCACGGCAATTTATTGTTCTCCAAAAATTGATTTCAGGGTGAAAACAATATTTTTGTTGTCTTGATTGAATAATTAATGACTTTTGCTCATTTAGCTACAGCATAAATTATTTTACTGTAACTGACAATCATGTACACGGACGTTGTTTCTTTACATTGGAAAAGATAACAGGAATTTTTACTCCTGCTTCATACGTTTGCACAATTCAAAAGAGATTTTTCGTTAATATTTAGTTCTAGTTTTAAAAACATATAATTTACTGCAAATGAGTACAACGGTGATGCATCAATTGTAAATAGCTTCAATCTTTTGTTTTATTGTATTTACTACCATCAAAACCTTCCGGTAATACTTCGATCATTATTTAAATGTTTTATAAGCAAAACGTGAACATTGGAATTACTAGTAGCAGTAACAGAATAAAAATAAAAAATTGCTGTTCCATTAATGCCACACTTTTTCTTTTAATTTATGGCATGATTTCTGAACCTTGGACGAGCATTGATAAATCATCAATGCATTGGAAAAAGTTGAAAAAGATACAAGAATATCGTAAATAACATCCAACAAAGGTGAAATATGTTAATGATGTACTTGTTATTTTCTCGAAAGAGTTCTACTTGGCAAAGTTAGTGGTGGAACCCGTGTTTATCTTGGATTCGGAAAAGATGGTTATGGAAAAGCAGTAAAACGACTTAATCGAGATAGTTACACAGAGGAAGCTAAGCAAGAAAAACATATTTTGAATGAATTTGATGAAAAACATTCGAAAGATATTATGAATTATTGGTATTCTGAAGAATAACCAAACGCTGAATATATATATTTTGTAAAGATTTACGTGAAGAATCGTTGGGGAGTTTTGTGAAACCTTCTACTTTAGATGCACTTCAAATAGCGCTTTCCAAAGTCATGAAGCATATCGTAAAAGATTTAGAATATCTTCACAGTGGCTCAAGTCCTATTCTTCATCGGGATTTAAGACTCGCAAACGTTCTTCGAGATGTACATGGAAATTTTTTAATCGCTGAATTTGGTATAAGTCGAAAATTGTTAAATAAAACTTCGACGTATGAGAGCCCACAGAGAGGAGCTAAAAATTAGATAGCTCCAGAATCATATGATGAAGTGAGTGCATCAATTAACTCTGTCCGCCATAAGAAACAGTTTGATCTTTTGGTTGGTATTTGTTGTGGAATTTTAAATAGTGTTGAATTCTGTATGTAACAAATAACTCGCTTTTTTAACGTTTCCCTATCAACCACTCACTTTGTGACTGTTATGATATCTTTTTTATTAAAAATTGAACGCAGGAATGGTGGCTTATTATGTTGCGACAAATGGGAAACATCGTTTTGGACTTGAACGGTTTTTATTAGACAACCTTTTTGAAGGAAACCCTGTTGGCTTGGACGAAATCAAGGATGCCACGCTCGAAGATATTCTTTCGTGGATGTTTAAGCGACAACCTGAAGACAGAACATCAGCCAACGAAGCGTTGAAACACCCATATTTATTTTCAGATGATGAGAAGTTTGAAATGTTGTGTAAAGTTGGAAACCAACATCCAATTAAGACAAATGATGCCCTTTCAAGTGTACTTTAACTATTGATAGTGAACCTTCTGATTGGAAATGTCAAATAGATAGTGATGTCAACGATTATCTTTGCACATATGAGAAAAATGGGAAAATTGATAAGGTCCACTACAGATCTTCATGGACGGAAAGCTTAAGACTTATTCAAAATGTTGGTCAACATTGGTACGATAAACCAAGACTGCATCTTGAATTATTGAAAAAGATTGGCGATCCAAAAGAATACTTTCTCAAAACTTTTCCCAATCTTCTCGATGAATGCCGCTGTCAGGTCGAATGATGTGATGAACAGTTGTTTTTCTTTGTAATTGTTGTTGCGGATCGAGGCCATTTCATGTGATTGACACTTTGGGATTATTACAGAAGGGAGAGTTGTTGTTAACATTATAGATTCGAGATGTTGAATTGTGAAGTAGTTTTCTTTGAGACGACTTCATTGTACAATGAAAGTTCAAAAATAAATCATTTAAACTAACGACAATTCCAAAATTATGTCCTCGAGAATAAAAATAACTATTTTATCGTGCAACGTGCATGATATGGCGCCCAACGTGAGGCGGCTTTAACGCAATAAAGTCGCCCATATTCGTTTCTTACGAAAATTTCGACTGAAGAGAAGGAAAAACTGGAAAGGCTACGTGCTAGAAGAAGAGGACATCGCGGAGTGTGTACTAAACTCGAGAAAGAGTCAGTTGAATTGTTATCACAGCCACCACATGATAATCTTGTAGATCGTAGCGAAATCATCGCACAACAACTCCAAGGGAAACTAAAAATATTAAGTGAACTCGATGAAGAAATACTGAACACGTGTGATGTTAATGAAATACAAGGTGAACTCGAGGACTCGGCCGAAATTTCTGATAGAGTTATGAGTATAAAACGAAAAATTGAAAGGTATATTAAATGCGCTAAGAATGACAGAGACGTTGATACGAAAGTCAACGATACCATATCGAACTCGAATTTGACGAACATGTCAAACCCTGGCCAAAACGAAAGTATCTAACGAAATTCTAACGAAAATTTGGCAAATGCGACGGAAAACTATGGTTTAATCGAAGGTTCAAATAATCAAGCGACGATCGAAATTGTAAACGAAGGAAAAGTAACGAGTGACAACAGTACGACAACTGTTCAATTTAAGTCAAATATGCCGAAGCTTCCTAAGCTGGAGCTTCCGAAATATGGTGGCAAGGTTACGGAGTGGAGTTCGTTTTGGGATCTGTATGATTCTGCGATTCACAGTAATCCAAACATTTCGAATGTAAAGAAATTCAAATCGCTTCTCGAGGGAAACGGTGCGAGGGCCATTAAAGGTCTAACATTAACTAATGCCAATTACGACTCTGCTCTATAAATCTTGAACGATCGCTTCGGGAAAACCCAGCAAACCATAACAGCTCACATGGATGAAATTTTAAAGATTCAATCTTGTAACAACGGTAGAACTAGCCAAGTAAGATACATATACGATAAAGTAAGCGTTCATGTACGAGGATTATCGAGTCTTGGCGTTTCTTCTGAACAATTTGGCAGTATGCTTATCCCTATTATCATGACTAAATTACCTAGTGACATACGTCTACAAACTGCTCGAAAATCGTCGGGAGACGTTTGCAAAATTGATGAGTTGTTGGATACAATAAAAACTGAGATCGAGGCACGGAAGATAAGTAAACGAGTGCAATCAAGTCCTTAGCCACAGCATGGAAAAATTCAGGAGGTCAGCACCAAACACCCAGAATACCTACGGCGAACGCCTTTTCGACTCAAATACTTCAGGTAAACATATTCAATGTGTTTATTGTAAAGAGCCACACTTTTCGGCATCGTGTGATAGAGTAACTGATGTTTTGTATGCCTGCGAATCGGGCATCTCAGTAAAATTGCGAGTCAATGAAGAGTTGTAGACGTTGTTATGGGGCTCATCATCAATCGATTTGTGAAGTGATTAGGTCAAGTTTTACGCCTCCTTAACAAAAGAATACATATGATCTTAAATTTTCCCCCACTGGAAACAACCTTCCAGAAACCCAGGAATGAAACAACGTTGCACAGCTACTATGATTGATGAAGATAATTACTTAACAACGAATACGGCAAAAACGCGTAATCAAGTTGTTCTGTAAACAGCTATTACATATGGCAATGGTGGGAATGGTTCCATTTCCATACCTGTTCGCGTGCTTTTGGACAGCGGTAGTCAGCGCACTTACGTTACGAATTCATTAAAAAACCGGCTTGGACTAGTTCCCATCAGAAAAGAAGTTGTTAACTTAAATACCTTTGGCAACCAACATTTTACAAAGCAAAAATGCGACTTGGTTCATTTGTCTCTGAAAGGAAAGAATGGAAATCGAATCAAAACAGCTCTTTGCTTCCCAAATATTTGCTCTCCATTAACAACGACAATTGATCTCAATCATTATCCTCTTCTGATAGAGTTGCAGCTTTCTGGTACCAATATTCTCTCTGGACGACAGATTGACAGCAACATCGACATTCTAATTGGAGCAGATTATTACTTTGATATCATGAAAGGCGAAATTATAAGAAGTGAATGTGGTCCTGTTGCGATTAATAGTGAATTTGGCTGGATTATCACTTGACAGACGAATGATGGTGAAACTAATTTGAAATTGTCAATCGTTAATTTAATCATCGAAGATTACTCAATTTCAAAAGAAGTTTCGCTTGACAAGAGAGAACCCAAATTACATGAATGCTTGAAACGGTTTTGGGAGATCAAATGAATGGGAATCAAAGAATCCAGCGAATCACAGGATTAGGAGTTTCTGAAGAATATAAAATATCTGAAGGATGAAGGGAGATATGAAGTGAATTTACCTTGGAAGGGGGAATATATTCCAAAATCAGACTGTTACGGTATGTGTTTGAAACGATTACACCAGTTGAAATCTCGTCTCGATAAAGACAAACCCTTATTGCAAGAATCCGATGCAATTATCAAAGATCAAGTGAAAGGAGGAATTATTGACCCAGTTCTTGTTGCACATGAAACCGGTTATTTCCTACCCCATCATGGCGTACTTCGAAAAGATAAGGAAACTACAAAACTTCGCGTGGTTCTCGATGGTTCGGCAAGAGCTACTAAGAAAGAGCAGTCACTCAATCATTGCATCGAAAAGGGACCAAATTTTGTTCATCGTTTATTTGACACTATTATAAACTTTCGAGGCTTCCCCATTGGGCTTGTTGCCGATATCGAAAAGGCTTTTCATCAAATACAAATTGCTCCCGAAGACAGAAGGATGCTGAAGCTCCTTTGGTTTGACGATATTAACAAAGTTCACCCGATGCTAAAGGAATACAAGTTCCGACACCTACCATTTGGTCTTACCCCAAGTCCTGCAATATTATCTACTGTTATTCGTCACCACGTTTCGAAATACAAGAATGTCGATCCAGAAATAGTCTCGAATTAATCGAGTCGTTATATGTTGACGATTTCGCTGGTGGAATTTCTAATGAGGACGAAGCTCTATACAACTATCATAGATCTCTAAAATTAATGAGCGAGGGAGGATTCAAGCTTCGAAAATGGCATTCAAACTCGCAACATGTCCGAAATGTTATCGCGAATAATGAAGATCGACCGTTTGATGAGGTGGGAAATGAAAGGAGGTCATCATATGTTAAACATATACCAAAAACGATGGTGGAAGACAAGTTAGTAAAAACTCAACAGAGCCACAACCTAAGTCCACATCTCAAGAGAACTGTATCAAAATTCTAGGAATCAGCTGAAATGAGAACAGCGACGAGCTTAGTAAAAGTGTTTTCCAAATCACTTCCTGCAACTAAGAGGTCAGTTTTAAAGTTATCTGCGAAAATATTCGATCCTATTGGCCTTCTCGCATCATTTACTATCACTATGAGGATGTTGTTTCAAACCCTCTGCTCTTCTGGCTGTAATTGGGATGAAGATCTGTCTGGCAAGGCCTTATCACGTTGGAATTCTCTCGTTCACGACTTAAGGGCTTTAAGTGACATACGAGTAACGCGTTGTTACTTCCATGGTGGATACGATTCATCTCCGATTCATCAGATACATGGATTTTGCGATGCATCAGAATTTGCGTTTGCTGCAGTTGTATATCTACAAACGGAACATAAAAACGGTGAAATTGAAGTGAATCTAATAGCAGCCAAGACAAGAGTCGCTCCTATCAAACGACAGACCATACCACGACTTGAATTGTTAGGCGCAACTACCTTAGCAAGATTAGTTGATTCTATTGTGAAAGCGTTGACTTCAATAAAATATCACTGATATTATCCTATGGACGGATTTATTTACCACATTGTGTTGGATTCGAAATCATAACGTGTGGAAGTCGTATGTACAAAACCGCGTGAAAGAAATCAGAAAGTTAACTAGTAGTTATAAATGGAGACATTAACCTGGGGTAATAAACTCTGCCGAATTGCCTTCTCGTGGGTGTTCCGTAAGTGAACTTGTGCAATCTGGAATCTGGTGGAATGGTCTGCAGTTCCTCCAAAATACTGAAGAAAAATTGCCCAAAGATCTTCAACTTACAAAATTGAATGAGGACTATTGCTACACAGAGATAATACGAAATCCTCTTCCAATAACACATTCCTTGACGTTAACATCGCTTCCTAAACGTTTGTTAGATGAATTTATTAATCGTTGGAGAACGGAATATCTTTTAAGTTTCAGAGAGACTTCACGTTTACTTCATGGAGCACAGAATGGGAAGATAACTGTCGGTGATGTTGTTGTGTTAAAAAATGATTTTTCCTCTCGAATTTTGTGGAAATTAGCTAGAGTTACCGAGCTCATAGTAAGTAAGGATGGTGTTGTTCGAGTAGCAAAAGTCTGTGTTGCGAGTACTACAAAGGCTCGATCGTCAGAACTACGTCGTCCAATACAACAACTGATACCACTTGAGTTGAATATGCCTCCAGCAAATACCGTGGTTCCCAAAACTACTAGTGGAATTGAGTCTAAAGACGAAAACTCTATGAAAACCCGACACCGAAGAACTGCAGCCGTGATTAGAGACCTATTGCGACAGTCAAATAGTAAAAACTCGTGAAATAAATTGATCAATATGATCAACGTCGGGAGTGTGATGAACAGTTGTTTTTATTTGTTATTGTTGTTGCGGATCGCGTGCATTTCATGTGATTGACACTTTGGGATTATTACAGAAGGGAAAGTTGTTGTTAACATTATAGATTGGAGATGCTGTTGAATTGTGAAGTAGTTGTCTTTGAGACGACTTCGTTGTACAATAAAAGTTCTAAAATAAATCATTTAAACTAACGACAATTCCAAAATTATGTTCTCGAGAATAAAAATAGCGATTTTATCGTGCAACGTGCATGACAAATGATGAATGGAAAACCAAATTTAAGACCTTTTCATTTTTAATTAAATCTACACGAATCAATGAACATTTCATGCACATTTCATTCGCCATTATTTTGTGTTTTTCTTTTTAAAAGTGCAAATGAAACAAAATTTGTGCTATTTAGATTATATTTTCATTCAAAATAATTTTCAAAAGGACTGTCTATATTCTAAAACAAATAATTCATATCGCTTTTCATTTTAAAGATATCGAAGTTTATGTAATGTCTGCTTTACAAAATTTGTGATGTCACATAGCATTACGAGAATTTGAAATAGCAGGTAAAATTGTTAAGATTTTACATCGACAGAGAAGAGTTCCTTCTACTGTGATTAGTTAATGGTATTAAAAACTGTTTTAAAAAGTAGCTACAGCGCTATTTATAAATTCTGTTGAATAAAAATAAAAAATATAAACCTTCAACAATAATATTTATGTTAACGTTAATTTAATACATATGATTTAAAATAATCCGCACGATTTTAAGCTCAACGTATGCTTAAGGCTTATTTGATATGTTGGTCAACAATGTATGATCAACCAAGACTACAACCAGAATTATTGAAAAAGATTGGTGATCCAAAAAAGTATTTTCTCAAAACTTTTACGAATCTTCCTGTTCCAGTGCAAGCGACTGTCAGGTCAAACGATGAATGGAAAAACAAACCAAAATTAAATCGACACGAGTCAATGAACATTTAAAAGACCTTTCATTCGCGGATTTATTTGTGTTTTTTTTAAAGCCATTATTTTAAAACCTTCGCAGCTGAAGCCAAACTTCTTGAAACATTGTTAGCTTAAACAACATGCGTCATATTTATACCTATGTGCTACAGTTTCTTTTTAGTTGTGTCATTTTCTTGCTAACGCTATTTCAAAGCAGTTTCTTGGTAACACATAATTTCCAAAACAAAATGGATATAATTTGCAGCATTTTTAGCTACACTCAGATAAACTATCGGAAGTATAACTCCAACTATCAATTCATAGCAATTTTATTTCAAATCTCGAGCGTTGATGAATTAAGCAACTGTCCAGTTGTATTTTATACATCCTGTATAAATGTGTAAAGAATGTTGAAAATGACATTTGTCGTCATTTTTGGTTTTGATTTTACTCAACCTAGCCAAATTCATTGAAACAGAATTACACAGATGTGCACCTTAGTACAAACAGCTAATTGTCATGTAATTTGTCTGAAGGTATGGCAAAGAAAAACAGTTGGCGTTGAAAATATTTTAAAGACCACGACTTGCACTTTGGCTTTTGAGTAAAAAGATCTTTAAACGTCTCAAGACCATTTTCATTCAAAAATTTGTTCATTCATTTTACTTTTACTTTCCTTCTTCTTTCTCCAAAAGCTTTTCCGCCATATGTTTGGATGGTAATAGAACGATATGCATCGTTATTTAAATTCAAGATAATTTGAACAGCTCGCTATGAAGTTTATCAAGTCGCTCTTATTGTGTTTTAACTACATAGAATATTTCACACCAAATCTCACAGCAATAATCAAAGTGTAGGAACAAGCGTATTGTTTTGCTTGTTCACAAAAATTACACAAGTAAAATGAAATTTTTCTTTTCAGTTATGACATTGCAGTGCTAGATATTTCACTTCATCAGTTATGTTGAATGTAAATGGATGTATCAATGAAAAATGAACCTTTTACATGAAAAAATCGACAAGACGTCAACACAAACGAGGGACGAAAGACAAATTATTAAACACGAGCTCAGTGTCAGATCTATTTCAATCTTCCATTTTACATGAGTCGAATGCATTAAAAACAAAAGACAATGAGGAAATTGTTCACATTTCCTTTTAATTTAATTGCATTCGACACATCTAAAGTGCGACGTTTGAAACGAGCCTCATTGTCTCGATTACATTGAAATAGTTACCTGTGATAAAATGGTTGTGAAGACCAACCACAAATGTTATAAAATTAAAGAATATATACTGAAAAGTTTTATGATCTGTCTCCATAAAATATTTTGCAGCGATGAAGGCCTTTCGAATGTTAATTTTTAGCTGCTGCATATTGAATTTTAAGTATAACGGAAGGATCAAGATTTAATGCGAAATCAACACTACAGAGTTTAGAATCGTCCAGGTTAGTAAAGTCCTGTGAAGTACTGTTGTATTTAATGTTGACTGACGTTTCGACAACCTTAGCGGTAGTCATCTCAGAGTCAACTAGACTCTGATTTCATCTTGACTCTGAAGATGACTACCGCTGAGGTTGTTGAAACGTTAGTGAACATCATGAACAAACGTCGTTCTCAGGATTCTACCAACCTGGCCTATCTACATCCACAATCATGTAGAGATACTACCGCGTTCAAAACATTTACCTTACTACAGAGTTTGCAACCATAAAAGAATATTAAAATTAAAACACGCGAGGGTAAATAGTTAAATGGCAGATATATATAAACTGTTTTTTTACCAATAAAGCTCCTTTAAGTTAAGATTCGACAGCTCTTTCTTTTGAATTTTTCTTGGAGGAGTTTAAAACCTTCACAATAAGTTGAATTCATTTAACATCAGTAGGCATAACCAGGGAACACATAAAATCACAACAATTTTTCAGTCAGGTCCACATGTATGATTGTATAAGAATGCTTTGGACATTATAGCTTATTAATTTATATCTGTTCAATAATCCATCGCTTAAAACGTACAAAACGTTTTGTAATACACGAAACGGCAGGATTTACCTCGGCCTTAAAAGCAAAACAACGATTTTAACTGCCATCTGTTAGTATTGCATATATACAGTCACATTTCCATAATTCAACGCTCAAGTCTGTCGTATATATTCCCCTTAATGATTCCCTTAAACGCAGTTTTGAAGAATACATAAAGATTATTTTAACTATAGATGATTACGAAATTAGCAATAAGGAATGCGCAAATTCGATTATACGCGGAGGGGGTATTCATGTATGCATGATAGGCCTTATTAAGTTCCCTAGGAATGCATGTTTTTCAAAGGATTATAACATGCAAATATGAATATTAGCCTCCCTCCCAAATAT